GAATCCATGGAGAGTGTCCCCAACAGCTGGGGAAAAGGCAGCCCACTGGTGGTGACCTGGATTCAAGCTGGGCTCTGTTGCTGCTCAGCCTACTCCAGTACTGGGGCCACAGGGCAGTTAAGGACCTTGGCAGCTGGGCAACCTGGAGCCCCCAGAGGCCGCTTCTCTTGTGCAATGTGGCAGTCTGAGGCAGAGGCAGCTATTATCTGCTAAGTTGTGGGTGATGGTTTATATCAGCAGTTCTCAACCTGTGGGTCATGTCCTTTTCGGGGGTTGAGGTCAAACAACCCTTTCACGGGTCACATATCAGATACCCTGCATATCAGATATTTATATTACAAATCATAATAAGTAGCAAAATTATAGTTATGAAGTGGCAATAAAAATAATTTTATAGTTGAGGGTCACTACAACATGAGACATTTATTTTAAAGGGTCACAGCATCAGGAAAGTTGGGAGCCACTGGTTTAGATGCTCGCCCCTCCCTTCTGGTCCTGCTTATTTCTGCCTTCCTGCTTACTGTGTGGAGAGGAACATCCCTTAAGGTCCCTCTTGGCTTTTCTTCTACCTACTTTTTCTCAGTCACCTCCAGTCACATGAGACGTGTCTTGAACGTAGCATGCTTTTGCTTAAGTCTTCATGTTTGCCCTGATTCATGCCTGGTCCCATCACCTGCTCAACAGCAACTCACGTGTGCAGTGGGGCCCTGGTGCAAGGCGTGCACAGTGGCTGAATGGAGAGGGAGCACCAGGGTGTCTCTTGGCCAGGCAGGCCTCATCTTTTCTTCCACAGCCTGTCCTGGCGTATCTGGGCTCTTCCTCTCTATGCTATGAGCTGTAAGGAGAAGCTCTCATTGGGGCCCTGCCCCTCCTCTAGGGAGTCAGACACTAAGCTTCATTCAGAGCTAGTTAGCAAACCCCAGGTCATGAGAGCTGAGTAGGGGATGGAGGGCTGGCTCTGGCTGCTGGGTAGGGGGAGCACCTGCAGGCCACCTGAAAGAAGATTCTCTGAGCAGGTGGTCAGAGGCAAGAGTTGTGGGGACAGTGGCCTCCATTAGTCAGGAGTAATCAGACTCATACTGTGGAGGCAGGGATTTTAGACCCATCTCATTGAGGAGGATAGCCAGGATGAGCTAGATTCTGAATACACTAGACCTTATCCAGGCCACCTTCCTAGCTGGCCCCTCTGGATCATTTGACTGGCTTCACATAGGGCCCCAAGTGTTTCCCTCCTCATCCCTAGACCCCGGCTAATCCACTGCAGATCACAGGGGCACAGTAGTGGGAGCCGTAGCCATCAAGCCAGACAGATGGCTTACCTCGGATGGAGGAGCCATGTCCCATGGTCCCGGGGCTGGGTTGAGGAAAGGCCCTGGGAAAATAGACCAGGAACAATGAATCAGATCCCTAGAAGATAAACACGGGCTGGCTGAGGACAAATGGTCTGGCTTCTGGGGCCACAGGTAGAGGAGCTTATAGGCAGGTGGCGGGAATCTGCTACCTTGGGTATCCAGGATATCAGGCTTGTCATTCTGAGAAGGTAGGCATGGCTACAGAATTTGGGAGAATTTTCCTTTATTGTCTATAATAGGGATCCAGGTTCAGCATTTAAAGCAAGAAAATTAGTGATCAAAAGTTGCTGGTTGACTGGGGTGTCATTTTTACCTGCTGGGAGAGGAAAAATCAGTTTTCTCGAATGGAGTGAAACTGGGTACAACCACCACTTGAGGGCAGGCCTCATGTTCAGGAGTAGTTGGGAATGGACTCCATAGTGACACGTGTGTGTGTGTGTGTGTGTGTGTGGTGTGTTTTGGTTACAGTTTAGTGGGTTCCCCCCCTTTTTTTTTCTTTTTGAGTGGTGTTTTATTTTATTTTATTGGTTATATTGAGTTTTTGTTTTTTGAGAAAGAGCATAAAGTTGGGTGGGTAGGGATCGATAGCAGCTCTTGAAGGGCTTGGGGGAGGGGAGGAATAGGATCAAGATATATTAAAGTTAAAACTGGTTTTCAATAGCAAGAAAAAAGAAAGAAAAGATGGGGGGGTTGAAAGACAATTTAGTGGTTAAGGGTACTTGTTGCTTTTCAGAGGACCTGGGCTCACTTCTCAGCACCCACACGATGATTCTCAACCTTCCATAACTCCCAGGCACTTCATATGATACACATTCATATAAAATAAACATCAAAAAATTGGCATTGAGGATTGGAGAGATGGCTTGGTTGGTACAGTGCCTGCCATACCTGCATGAGGATAGAGCCCGGAACACACCTAAAACAGCTGGGCATGCTGGGATGTGTACTTGTAATCCCAGCACTGAAGAGGCAAACACAGGCAGACCCCTGGAGCTCACTATCCAGCCAGCCTAGGGAAACAGCAAGCTCCAGACCAGAGAAGCACCCTATATCCAAGAACTTGGTAGATGGCTCCTGAGACCAGCATCTGAAGCTGTGGTCTAGCCTCCACGTGCTTACGCATGCACACAGAACTGGGGCCCAGAGCGTGCACACACACACACACACACACACACACCCCAAAGTGGACAGGGGCACGTCCCTCTGGGGCAGGGGTCTCAGTGCAACATCATGCTGTTTCCCTACCCCTCACTCACTTGATCCAGTGGGTGTCTGGATGTGGCTAGGGGCAAAACCTACTCCTCATCAGAATACCGGGCACTGCCATCTCTTCCGGCTAGGCCAAGAACTAGCTCCATACCGAGGGGGCCTTGAAGTGCGCCTTAGTCCCCTGTCCTCAAGGGCAGGATTCCTGAGTGCTGAGAGGCCTTGGATTTCCCCTCCCTGGAAACAGGTCCCATACCCACGCTTAGAGAGTAGGGTAGTCCCCGGAGCAGGAAGCTGTGTTCTGTGGATAATTAAGGAGTATTCTTTTTTCTTCCCAGCCTGTTTTTCCTTCGTCTAAATGAGAAGTTGGGCTGGTCCTTCCAACCCTGGTTTCTATGTAGCTGCCCTCAACTGGTCCCCTTTCCCCATGGGGTGATCCCAGCTCCAGGCTGGATGCCTGGAGACACTACCAGGTTCCATGGGGCTAGGATAGGGGCCAGGATAGGCCTGGGGAGCAGGGCTAGGCCAGCAGGGGTGGTGGCCTTCTTCCCTGGCCTGGCTGCCAGGAAGTTGCACAAGAGGAATGTTTATTTTTGGTGAGCTGGGTGGGATTTCTTTCCTAAAAAAAAAAAAAGAAAGAAAGAAAGAAAGACCCAAAACATAAAACTTATTTGTCTACCAGGAAGATAAATATCTTTGCTGGAAGCCCTTGGCCCAGCTGCCAGTTGCAACTTGCACAGTGATATTGCCGAAGCTGTGGCCCACTGTGTGAGCTGGGCTCACATGGCTGTCATCTGTGACGCCTCTGGTGGGTCAGCCGCGTCTGTGGCATTACGCTACGAGTGGCCCTTCAGGAGCTGCTTTCAGGCCTACTCTGGGCACTCCCCTCTCCTTCATCTCTTCAGTGCCACAGAGCTGGAGGGAGACTGACAGAAGCAGACAGCCCCTCTCACCTTTCCTCGTGCTCACAGGGAGGCTGGTAAACCTGGAATGTCAGCCCCCACATCCTCAGTCTGGATGGCATCAGGAGATCAAGGATAGAAGCATCATTGTGACCTAAAAGGCAAATTGCATAATCTGTTTCCAGAAGAAGAAACAGAGCATCAGAATGGGTGGTGCTTGGGGCAAATGGGCAGAACTTGACTGTACTTAAGGATTTTCTACAATCTGCCTCCACGTTTCATTTAACTGTTCTCTCATTGTCTCCTTCTCTCAGAGTCTCAGATAAGGAATATGGCAAAAAGGGAGGGGGGCTCCGCACATCTGGAGACATGTTTTGATCCCAGCCTATGGTGCTTTTATACATATGTCTGAACCCCAGGGACTTTTCTGTGGAGGCCTTGTCCTGGGTCATCCTCCTCTAAGGCTATCAGGCCCTGTAAATCTGCAAGGCCGGACCAGAGGCTACTGCCTCTCCGTTTCTCACAACCCATAAGGAATATCTGGTGGGTATCTTCATTTACCCCCAAGTTACAGAGGGGAAACTAAACCACAAAGGGGTTCATTAAGGAACATGGAGGCGTCGAGCCAGAGATCTGGCAGACACACCCTGTGGAGCCTGGCCCTAGAGCACAGGCTCAGAGCCCTCTGCAGCAGCAAGGCAAGACTGTCTGCCCACATGGACCGATCTGGGCCGACAACTCCCACCCTCCTAGACTGGTCTCCACCTCTCCACTCTTGGCCTGCATGGTTTGACTGGGTTCCTTGTAGCTCTGAGCTTCCAGGATTCTACCATGGGGTCCCCATTCTGTCAGCAAGTAGCAGTAAGGGCCTAGGCTGTGAGTCCTGTTTATGATGATTCCTTGTGGCCCCAAAGAGGGGATTTTTCAGAGGTGAGGGCCTGAACAGCTGTGGTGGACAGCGGCAGCCGTGGCTAGTGAAAGGGACCCCAGCAAGAGCATCCATGACTCAGTGAAACCCATCTGCTAAAAGCCCCTCCGTGGGCAGTGAGACCAGTGTCACCAGTGGAATGGAAGGTGAGGGTGACCCTCTCAACACTAAACTCCGGAGACAGTCTCCAAGGCTCCTCTACTGAACTCCATGGGGACCACACGATGTGCCTCAATGCTGGTCTTTCTCTCTCCCACCAAGTCCAGTGTGGTCGAACGAGTTTTCTCCTCTATCAGTATTGTGTTAGCTAGTCATTGGGTCCATTGGTTGTAGGGGAGGAGTCTCACATGCAGAGAGTAAGGAGAAAGTCCCAAAGGTCAGACAGACAAACCCGAGAGTGGTGCCAGAAGGGACCCACTTAAGGATGATGCCACAGAAGGTGAGAGAAGGGGGGGGGGGACTTGCCCAAAGTCACCCGGCATGTTGATGAAAAGCTAGGATATGAAATTTGACTCTCTTGAGCTGGTACTCAGTGTACCTCTGCAAGGGGAAAAGTGTTCTCCACTCTCCCTGGCTGTTTTCAAGCATCTAACCTTTCTTTCTCTTCCTCAGCCAAAGAGAGCAACCTGGGTGAGCCAGAGTTGCCCCCTGACTCTGAACCTGTGGGCATGGACAACAGCTACCTCAATGTGAAGGAGACAGGGGCCAAGGGGCCCCAGGACCGGGCTCGTGCTGACATCCCAAGCCCCCTGGAAAAGACCGACTCTGAGAGCAACAAAGGCAAGAAGCGGCGGAACCGCACCACCTTCACCAGCTACCAGCTGGAGGAGCTGGAGAAAGTCTTCCAGAAGACACACTACCCCGATGTGTATGCACGTGAGCAGCTGGCTATGAGGACGGATCTCACTGAGGCCCGTGTGCAGGTCAGCCAGAGTGACAGGCAGGGACCCACGGAGCCTCCCAGCCTTGGGCTCCAGATGCAACTGGGAGCTACTGACTACTGTGGGCTATGCCAGGTTTTCCTTACCCTGGGAGGGCCTGCCACGCCAAGAGAGGATCTGGCCACCCAATGCCCCCTTCCCCAGTCATAGTAGATCTGCTCAGCCACTATATTCAGCTCTTTAGGGTAAGGTCAAGAGAGGGAGGCTCTGTGGAGGAAGGAGAAGGTTGCTACCTGTGAGTCCATGCCTTAATTGAAGGACAAGATGGCGCCATGTCTCGTCTGGAAGGCCTATTTCTCTGAATGGAGATGAACAAGGCCCAGACATTCACAGGCCCATAGTAGAAGCAGAGATTAATATCCTGTCCAGGATAGCTGCCTCCTGCATGTTTCAGGACCCAATCAACATGCCTCCTCTGAGGAGACTCTTGGCAATCATGGCCAATACAATGCCTACCATCACCACTACCCAAACCCAATTCAACCCAACTCAGTCAAGTACACCTAACACAGCCCGTACAACCAACTCAGTGTAGCGCAAGCCACCATACACAGACCAGTTCAACTCCAAAACCAAACAACTCAGTACAACGTGACCCAGTCACTGCACAACACAATCCAGTGCAGAGGAGCACAGACTAGTACAACCTTCTTCAAAACAGTACATCTCACTACACAAATATGACAGCCCAGAACAAGGCGATTCAACATGGTGCGACTCAGACCACACAGTTTAACCCAGTAACCTAACCCAACAACACACTACAACCCAATAAAAACAACATAACAACACAACACAGCCCAGGACAACCAACTCAGCACAGCAAACTCACCACACACTCACCAGTTAAACTCAGTACAACACAACCCAGTGCAACACAACACAGCACAGTAAATACAACGCGGCACCTCGTGTACAGCTCAGCTCAACCCAATGCAACATAACCCACCCAACCCAACACAGCCCAGTACAACCCAACTCAACACAGTGTAACTGACAATACACAGCTCAGTGCAACCTCGTATAACCCAACCCAACACAAAACATCCCACCCAACCTTATCCAATTCAATATTACTCAACCAACCCAATACAACCAACTCAGCACATACAGCTCAGTTCAACCCAGTTCAGCACAACAAAACTGAACCCAATGCAACACAGTACCAGACAATGAAGTCAGCTCAGTTCACTAAATACAGCCCAAATGAACTCAGTAGAGCTCAGAGTGCCCACTCAGCACTGATCAACCCAGCTTGACTCTGCTAAAGAGCACACAATACCACGTAGCCCTTTATAACTCAGCCCAAATCAACGTAACCAAAGCAGATCACCTTCTTCTGCTTGTCCTGCTTCCTCTCCTGGGTAGACTTTATGACTGGTCACATTATTCTCTTGCCCCTGAACTGAGAGATCCTTGATCATCCATGTGTGTTGCTTTTGAGATGGGTCTCATGTCACTCAGACTGGCCTTTGTCTTACTATGGAACCACAGCCAGCCTTGAATTATTGGCCACCTTGTCCTGCCTTTCCTGCCCTGGGATTATAGACTCGGGCCACAGCTATTTCACTTCTGTGTCCCCACCAATTAGAGAAGGCTGGGTGCCGAGCAGCATGTAAGTTTGTGCAGCTTCGCACAAACCAGTGGCCCTGCTTTGCCCAGAGGTGTGCCCCTCTGCAGAAAATCATAGCAAAGAAAGTGAAAACCCAATCTGCCAAAGCACATACGATCAAGGCCCCACACTAGCATTCAAATTGCAGTTTAATATGACATCAACTCCATGGTCAGGCTGTTTTCCACTCAAGGCATGGCACGAATGGAGCATGAGAGTTCCTAGCTATCAGGCAGAAACCTGACATTTGAGTAGAGAGGGTTTTTTATTTTAACATATATTTTAATGTGTGTGTGTGTGTTCATGTGTGTTTGGAAGTCTATGTGTGTGTGTGTTGTGTTTGTATTTTCATGTGTGTTTGCAAGTGAGGGAAGATGTGTGTGTGTGTTTGTGTGTGTGTGTGTGTGTGTGTAGCCAGAGGTCAACATTAGTGTTAGTGTCTTCCTCAATTGCTCTTGATATCATTTTTTAAAAAACATCTTTTTTTTTCCCCTCTGCACCCTGAGCTTGCTGATTTGGCTAGACTAGGTAACCACTAAGCCCCCTGTCTACCCCACTTGCCGGTGCTGGAGGATATGGGTGCACACCTCCATACCTGACTCTTTTAAGTGGGGTCTAGGCCTCTGAACCCAGGTGTCCTCTTGCTTCCATGGCAAGTATTTTACAAACTGAACCATCTCAGCAGTCCCAAAAGAGTATTTCTTCTTAATGGGCATAGCACTGTGGTCTGGGCCCTGGGGAATCAGAACAAAGAGTCCTGGGCAGACTCGTGTACAGTTGCTTTTATTCTACTCATGGTTCTGAGGGATCAGTTGAGTGCCCATCAGCTTCACCAAGTCTCGTTTAACACACTGAGGTATCTGCCATTTAACCTGGGTACATAGAAAATGCAAAATGGTTACCAGGAAACCTGCAGCCCCTTAGACACTGTAGCTGCTATGGCATGCTGTAGTCTCGTGGTTTGTTGAAGAATTGCAGAAGAGCTTGGTTTTGCTGACATGCTATGCCATGGGGCCTTCTCAAGCCCTGTGAGACCTCACCTACCTGAGATTTGAGCTCACAGATGAGTCCGATTCCAGCCTCAGCTCTAGCCCAGGACTGGGGCAGGGAAGGAGGGGTAGAGAAAGGAGTAACCGGTTGCAACGCTACAGTGCCAGTAGGTAGTGTGTTGGCATGGGGCAAACATGTTTGCTTTCTACTTGTATGTGTACCTGTGTGCATGTGAGCACCACATACATGCACACTGCTCAAATGAATTCGAGTATGCAGAACAGAGTTCAAGGAACATTCGGCAGGAAACAGAGAATGACACAGAGCAAGTCACTGATATCCACCTAGGACACTGCTTTGTGGATACACACAGACATACACAAGCCTACTTCCAAAATGGTGAGAGTATTTACAATTAGAGATTTATTTTAGCTTAAGAACAAAAACAGTGCCAAGAAGTGACATTATTGTGTTAAAACAAGCAAGCAAACAAACAAAACCCCTACCAGGATAAAGTTCATTATTGTCAAATTCAACTTTGAACTTCCTGTCAGCCAAGATAGAAAGGGAAAGCTTAATTTATTGTCTATCAAATTATTGCAGCTATACAAATACATTACAGATATATACAAATATACAGATATATTACACATTATTATACATTATCAAACATATTCCTATCAAACAGGAAGGTTATAGAATTACAGAAAGGTGTTTCAGAAAAGATCCCACCATCTTTTGATGAGGAAGAAAGACCTACATGTGGGAAGTGACTCCCAGAGTTAACAACAATGCAGACCAGCACTGAGCCTGGAATCCAGGGCTCCCCAGCTCTAGGCCAGTGTTCTTCCACTTTAGTTTGCAGTTCCTGGCACATGCCAGACTGTTTGTCTTTCCTCTGTACAAAAGCAGCAGGGTGGGTGGGATCTCCATGTGCGTCAAACCTCTGGGTTGAGCTGAGCCTGGCAGTGCCCTGGGGGTGGGGATGAGTAATGCAGGGGTGTACTAGAACTGCAGTTTTGCCTGTCTCTGTGGAGTTTGCTCAGGCCACGCACTCTGCTGGTGGCAAGCCAGGTGCCTGGTGTGCAGTGACGGCAGGAACAAGGAGGGGGCCATGAGGGGGTCCCACGATGGTCCTTCATGGGAAGCAGCCTGGGGTCTGGCCCTGCTCCAGGGGGCTTCAGAGCCTCTCTCTGCTGTCTGGGATTCCAATCTCCACAGCTGGTGTCTGAAGACAATAAGACTGAGGCCTCCCCGCCCTGGGCCACCCCGCCCTGGCCCCAGATGGGCTGCGGTTAGAGATGCCTCCTCCAAGACAGTCGGTTCCTTGAATGGCCTGGTCCTCGGGAGAGGCCTGTGCTGAGTGGGCCAGGTCCGGGTGGCCCAGGAACGGGGTGGTCCTGGGAGCGACATGCAGAATGGAAGCACAGTGGGGACCTCAGTGAGTTCTCCTCCTGGGGGCTATAGAGACTAGCCTGCGGTTGCACAGCCCTGAGGCACAAAGGCACAGCTGGGGGTCAGAGATGGGAGAACACACCAAGTCTCTGCACAGAGATGTGGATTGGAGCACAGAGGGACCACCAGGTACCGTGCGACCTCCTGGAGGATGTGAGGACATTGAAGGTCAGCCAGGCTAATAGCCTAAGCTGACTGGGGGACAGGAAAGGCAGGGACAAAAGCTCAGGAACATGGAAAGGATAGGGACAAAAGACCACTCTGGGAAGGAGGTCCCAGGCAGGCCAGCTCCCACTGATCTGAGTGTCTCCACTCTGGGCCACCTCCTATCTCTATCAAATAAATCTTACCATGACCTTTTTCTACTTCTTTCCCCAAACACTGTTCTTGACTGCCCCTTCCCAGACAATGGGGCTTCCCACCTCCCTCAAGCACTGTATCCCATCCTTCACCCACTCCTTCAATTCCTTCAATTCCAGGCCCCTTTGCCAGACACTGGCTTTAGCCCTCCCTGGGTCCTCGGTTTCCCAGCCCTCAGTGACATCACCCACCTCTCTGTCCCCACCACAAAAAGGACCTGGAACCCACAGACACAGCAGCAGCAGCTTCTCTTGCCTGGGCCCCACCCCCAGAGATAGAAGGAGCAGAGCTGTGATTTTGGTGCCTCTAGTGCCCCTCTCCCCAGAAAAACCTGGGAGGCTGAGGATGGAGCAGAAGGCTGAGCTCAGTCTGCAGGAAATTAAACATGAAATAAAAACAACCTTCTCTGATTGACTCCTCCATCCAGTCCCCAGCCCCCACTGCAGCCACTGATAAGGTGGATCCCATTTCACAACGCAGGAGACCCCCCCCCCCCACGTGCTCCTTTCTCCCAGTGGACATCCTGGATCCCAGAGTAAAAGTACTCCTCCCCCAGGCTCAGGGGCAGGGACTGAGTCTCGGAGAAGGCTGCTCTCCAGGGAGGGCGCAGGAAGGACGCTCTGAGTGTGTATATGTATGTGCACATATGTGAGTGCACACACATGGCCAGATAGTTGTGTTTGCTTGTAAATGTGTGTATATGTCAGATTAGGAAGGCGGAAGTGAGCCGGAGAGGAAGTGTGCCCATTTTCCCTTCCCAGCTCTCACGAGATCTACATCCTGGGGGTTTTCACCACCTTTCTTCAGCAAGAGAATGAAGTCAGGCGCACTCGAGTGCTCTAGAAACTCCATGCTGTGTGCTCCCCTCTGCTGTCCCCACAAGGCACCACCTCTGCGAGGATATCAGCCTAGACCTTAGTGTAATGCCATTCTAAAGATGTGGAAATTGAGGCTCTGCACAGTGCAAGCCAAGATACTCTAGAAGCCCCGCAGGTCATAGCCGCTGCGGAAGGCCAGTCCCTCTGCCATAGTTCTGAGGAGTCTGGGTGCTCACAGGCAGGTGGGGAGGCTACTCTAGTCTCCATCCCAGCACCGTAGATTGCCTTGACTAGGAAAGCTTCTGTCCTGCCTGTCAGTATTGCCTTTCCTGTGATCTTGGCCCACAGTTAGCAGCCTGGGTGCAAATCACCATGGTTCAGAGCTGTCCAGCCATTTGTCATTGCGATAGGACACTGTCATAGGCAAACTTCACAATCAAGAACCACACAACTGAGTTACAAAATCAATATATCTTTTAAAGTGTTTTAAGCAAGTTTACACTTCTTGCTAGGCTGCGTTCATAGCTGTCTTGTGGAGCCACAGACTGAGCATGCATTGCTGAGGTGTGTCTGTGTCCACCTGAATCTGGAGCCCACTGGAAGGTGCAGAATAAGCTGCGGTGTCATCCTCCGAGGAGAAACTACCCTCTTCCCACTGCTTCCTCTCCTACGCTCTCTGGGCTCCCTCTACTCTGTTCATAACCAGTTAAGGCTCTTAGAGTAGCAGACCGCCCCTTGCCCTTGTCTTCGTGTCTTGGGTGATTCTCAGACACCCTACCAGAGTCTCCACACTTCCTCTAACTCAGAGACCTCTCCCCTGGCTGAGTACTTATGCCTCAGTAGGATTTTCAGCAGTCACCCCCATCGACACCTTCCTAGAGGCGGTCCCGAGCTGGTGTGTGCAGCCCTCTACCATCTGGCTCCGTTTTCACACATCTTTTCCTGACTGCTGTCGTTCCAAAAGGCCTCACCACTAACACTCGAGGGAAGTTCTGAGCAGACTGTTTCTCTCTGATGGATGCAGGAACATGTGTACTCTGGATTTGCATCCACAGGCAGGTCCATGAGGACTTCAGGACTGTGTGAGATTGGCTAAGGGAAGAAATTTCTAGAAAGGTCTTCATAGCTTGATGGGATTCTTCCTGGGGTCTGTGACCCTCAGCAGATTATACACAGCACTAGGAGGACAGATAACCAATGGCTCTGCTCATTCTCCTAATTTATGTATGTGTGTTTGTGCATGCATGTGTTCTCGTGTGTGTGTGTGTGTGTGTGTGTGTGTGTGTGTGTTCATGCAACACTTGCCTGTTCTGGAATCTGAAGCTTAAGCAGTTAGGCCCCAAATCACACTTATGGTCAATGCAGTGTAGGCAGCCTTCCTGATTCTGACAATTTCACACAGTTAGTTGCTATACCAAAGATTGAAAGGTCGAGGCTGACTCTTTCTCTGTGCCCCTAACATACACACCAGGCTGGTGGAGTTAGGGAGCAATGTTCGCTGCCTGAGAGCAAGACCTGAGACCTGTGACTGCCACTTTGTCCTGTAGGTTTGGTTCCAGAACCGGAGGGCCAAGTGGCGGAAGAGGGAGCGCTTTGGGCAGATGCAGCAGGTCCGGACCCACTTCTCCACGGCCTACGAGCTGCCCCTCCTCACTCGAGCTGAGAACTATGCCCAGGTAAGTCCTCTTGCCCAGCTGTCTCCTGTGCCCCCAGTCAGCACTGCTGGTGCAGGGAGGAGGAGGGCTAGGCCCAGGTCTCTGTCCCTGGCGGTGGGAGACCTAGAATGTTGGGACAGTGTTTTCCTCTGCTGTGGTGAGCGTCTGGCAGATGGAGACCGGCTGTCACCTGAGGAAGGGAGCGCTGCATCTCGAGGGCCGTGGTCAGGTTGGAGTGCACATGGAAGTCTGGGCCCAAGACAAAGCTTCCTCAGTCTTAGTCTTGCCACCTTCATGTGTCTCCAACCCTCTGAGCCCAGCTTCTTTGCTTATAAACGGGACCATATACGTGTCCATTTCGGCTCTTCTATCACTGTCGTAAGGCCTAGAGTCGTGGTTTATGGGTTTGGCATTCGGGTATCTGCTTGCTGTCTCCCCCCTTTCTCCAGCAACTTCCTGTCTGTCCATCAGCCAGAAACGAGGAGTCCTCCTGACTGAGTGCACCCTGACACCTCCCTCATGACCTCCCTCTGCTCCTGTGTCCCCCTCCCCTCTTCCTGGTGGCACTCTGCCTCCTGTTCTTGAGACTCTCAGCAGCCAATGGCACCACTGCTCCCAAGTGTGCCCGGGTGTGGTGCTGTCAAACAGCCCCTGTCCATCCCAGCCCTGACCTGGGCCGGCTGCCCAGGATTTGAGGGTCAGAGGGCAACCCTAGAGGTGAGGCTGAGGAATGTGAGGACATCAGCTTCACCTCTGCTCACATTCTGTAATACCTTCCTCTCACTCTCCCTCTGTCCTCCTAGAGCCAGCCTCTAACTCACTCTCTTTGCCCTTGACGGCTACCGTCTGAGCTCGGAGCTAGAGGGAGGAAACAGGAAGAGACCCTGTCTGGCTCTCCCACTGCCCCACAGACTGCAGGTCCTAGACCATTTCCAAAAGAGGGTGTGGTCACATTGTCCCCTCTCTGGGGCATGCTGAGGCCAGAAACAGGACATGGTCAGCCTGCAGGCCGTTCTTGGGACCAAGAGGTCTAAGTTCATGAGGGCCTTGAGGACCTGGTGTCCACCTGGCACTTTTAAAGGCCTCCTTGAGTTCTTTCCAAACCCTTGGGTTGGGCAGGCAGAGAAGCCTGTCTGAAATAACAGAGAACCTAGAGTTTAGAAAGCATAGTCTTCTCTTCAAAGGGGGACCTCTGCACCCCAGATTTACTTCCTCAAAGATGCTTAGAGGGCAGAGGAAGGTGGGGCCAGAAGTGGGTGGTGGGAAGAGACAAGGAGTGACTGTCATTTCAGTGGAAGAAAGGTGTGGGGGCTGGGTCACCTTTTCACTGCTGGGCTAGCCGGGAAGGCTCAAGGCACTGACCTAGGTCTATGGGAGCATTCAGATGCCTGTCCCCCACATCGATCCCCATATCACTCCAACCTGCAAGTCCAGAGCCTGTGTCCCCAACAAGATGCTCTCAGGTTGATCCAGAGTAATGCTTTTACTGGCCCCTGGGGGAAACTGGACACTTAGTCTTTGCTACTGAATGTCAAGTATAGATCTACTCTGGGAATTGAAATCCTAAAACATAAATTCACCTCCAAACTCACTGGGCATCCTTAATGTTAGACAGCTAAGAACGGTTTCATTGTAATGGTGGACAAGTGAAGAGGGTGAGAGCCCCTTCTAGACCACTGCCCTCCTAGCTGGTTTGTGACATCTCTCCTTTCACTGTCCCCAGATTCAGAACCCATCCTGGATTGGCAACAATGGCGCTGCCTCGCCAGTGCCAGCCTGTGTGGTCCCCTGTGACCCAGTGCCTGCCTGCATGTCCCCTCATGCTCACCCTCCTGGCTCTGGGGCCAGCAGTGTCTCCGACTTCTTGAGTGTCTCTGGGGCTGGCAGTCACTTGGGCCAGACACATATGGGCAGCCTGTTTGGAGCAACTGGCCTCAGTCCGAGCCTCAACGGCTACGAGATGAACGGCGAGCCAGACCGCAAGACCTCAAGCATTGCTGCACTGCGCATGAAGGCCAAGGAGCACAGCGCAGCCATATCTTGGGCCACATGACAGAGCCCCTCCTGCCAGTCCTGATGCCGTGCTCCTCCCTGGGGCCTTGGCCACATCCCTGCCTTCCAGGCCCCGAGCTTCCCACTTGACTCTCCTCTTAGGAACCTGGCCTGGCCCAGGGGCCTGGCCCTCAGCACTTTCAGCCACCCCAAGTCTGAGGCCCTAGGGACTACTGGGAAGGAGGGGGCTGTAGGCCCTTACCCCTCCCTGGCACTGAGGCTGCAACCCCTGCTCCCTGCCAAAGGCAGTGGAGAAAGCCAAGGGGCTCTGTGAGTAGTTTTGCATCATATAAGCTGAGGCCCTGTCTCTCTTTGTGTTCCTTCACCCTTCCATTTGACTTGAGTTAAAGTTAGGCTCCCCTCCAGACCTAACAGCTTCAACAGTCCAGCCCCATCTAACCGTCCTTTCTTCTGTGTGGTACCCTGCTCACTGGGTCTATGGCTGTGTGTCTTAAGGAACAAGCTGCCTTGCAGAGTCAGCTCCTGACCGCCTTTGCATCCCACCTCCTTTATCCAAGGCATCTGATCATTCACCCATCCAATGGGCCTTGTGACTGTAGCTTGACTGTCCCCTGTGATGGATGCACCTGGGGAAAGTGCGGCAAAGCGGAAGGACTCTGTTGCTGTCCGCCCATAAGGATGACCGAGCTCCAAGGAGATATGGGCCTGCCTTTGATCCTGAAACTGGTTCTGGTTGACAATGTCGGGGTGGGGTGCCAGGTGTGAATGGAGGCAAGGACACAGATCTGTCACCTCCACCACACGTGACCATCAGAAGCCAGAGAAGCTCCCAGAATGATGACCACAAGGAGGACCCAGTGGGTAAAACCGGGGTAGCACCTGGCATCTTCTACGGTGGGGAGGTCTCTTGGTCAGCACTGGAGCCTCCCAGGGTCCCTCTGGGAGGAGTTGAGATAATTCATCCTCTCCCTCCTGGTCACTCATTGGGTCGTGGGTCGTGTTGTGGTCTGGAAGAATTTATACCTTGGAAGACATAAGTTAGAGCGCAGGGCCACGGCTGAGCAGCTCAGGAGCAGAGGACATGTGACCAGCTTGGCCTTTCTATGCTCAGACTAACCATGTCCACCCACCACCCTGCCGCAGCATCACACCTGCCGGAGTTTCCTACACAGGGTAGGTGGCAATCGGTGCCCCTCTAGGCTAAAAGGAGAGCTGCTTTCTAATCACCCTCCACACCTGTTAAGAGATCCTATCCTAACTGCCCCAGGGGCCACGGTCTCTGCCTCAACTGGTCTCAGGAAAGGCTCCAATCCAGGCCCACTCTCTCTGGCAGAAAACCCTCCTGAAACCAGTTCCCTATCTGAAGGAAGGGGCTCCCTGTCTACCTGGTTTGACCTGGAGCTAGGAATTAGGATTTGAAGTGACCCTCGCTGTCACCTGAGCTGGAGCACAGAACCACCCTTGAGGTAGGTCCCTCAAGCAGGTGGCCTTTCCCTGAGGAGACACACTTGCCTTTTCTACCTTCTTCTGCCTTGACTGTTGTCCGTGAGGCCCACTAGGCTCAGGGTTCTGCTCACTGAATGGCCTCTCTCTCGGGTTGGAATGAGAACCGAGGACCCCTGCCTTGGATCTGCCCTAGGTCTCTGTGGGTGAGAGGGAACCACAAACCCTTGTTTGTGTCCTCATCTGCTCTGGAAGGCAGGCAGAGTAAGCTCTCAGCAGAATGGAGACTCTGGGTTGGCCCCCTAGTAAGAGCCAGATCTCTTGAGAAGCAGTAGCCCTGGAATAGATCTTAGGAAGGCAAAGAGGGCTTAGGTATTGAATTTAGTGTTCCTGGTGACTCGGCTTTGTGTTTCAGATGTCTGGGGAGCAAGACCTCCAGTTTGGAGTGCACTGAAACAACTCACCCCCTCAGAATCAACCAGAGAAGGAAGTGCTTAAGGGCTGGAGCAATTCCCTGGGGTTCTTCATGGCAGCAGTGATTGGGGAAGGGCAAGTGGGAAAACGTCCCTACCCTAGGTAATCAGTACAGAGTGAAGAGCCAGGACAGCGCAGAAAGGAAGGAGAGTGGGTTTTTGGTAGATTCTTCTGGGAGTGGCATATAACTTCCCTAGGTTTTATTTCTGGCCAGGCTACTAGACCCAAGTCAGGCAAATTCTAACCCCTAAGCCTCAGAATGGAAAGGTATATAGCAATAACTGATTGTTTCCCACACAGTCAAGAACTGACATGCCTTCCACCATCTCTCCAGATGCGGCAATTTCCACCCAGACTGCTCTGGAGGGCCTTAGTTCCCAGGGCAACTGGAGATGCTCTGAGCCTCCCTCATGTCTCACATCTCCTCAGCATCCCAAGTCTCCAGAAGAGAATTGTGGGGTGCTGTGGTACCTAGTGGGCCATAGGTACGCTCTAAAGTAACAAGGTTTTCATGGCAACCTAGCTTCCTAAAGAGTCAGATCTTCCAAAGGTCCAGATGAAGAGAGAGGATGCTGCCTGCTGGGTGGTCACTACTGGACAGAGGCCAGCCTTGCCTGGCATCAACCTGGTGTGTCACAGAGAGTGGCTATGCCTGCCTCAGCTCATTTCTCAAGGAGGCCCTTTAACAGCACAAGGGCCAAAGCTCTGCTACAGAAGGCATGTCTCCAAGATTTTTTTTAGTTGTTTTAATTCTTTTGATTCTGCTCTCACAATCATGCCTCCAACTTTGAGAAGCAGGATGGGTGGGGATTTAGGCAAGGAGGTAGCAAGATCCAGGGGTTCCCCAATACACACTACAGGGCTCATGGCTGACACAGCTCTGATGCCTCATCTCCCTGATCGGACAGAAAGGATTCCATGGAAACCACCATATTTCCTTTACATAGTCAATTTTCCTCTGGGATGTCCTTAGGCAGATCATCTCTGGAGACTCAAAGGAACCCAAGGTCCCAGGTCAATGGGAATGACCCTGACTGTCAGGTACAGAGACAGGCAGACCCAGCAGAGGGAGAATGCCAGGCAACCTTGCCTTCAGGGTGCTAATCAATAACACATACAATTTTAAGCCAGGACAAGCTTCTATTTCTTTCCCTCAGCCCCACTGTGCTGCAAGGATGCCACAGGGAGGAGTTCCCACCGGACGGTATTTCCCACCCTTCCCTCTCTTTTCCTTGCCTTTCACTCACACATAGAGCTAGGCCTGTATACTACTGATTTTGGAGGACCGTCTTCAGTGTCTAATAACCTGTTTGGGTGTGCAGTGGTCAGAAAAAAAAAAAGAGAAAGAGAAAGCAGAGTGAGAGATGGAACATGAACCTCAACCAAAATTCGCTATTCTTGTAGGCTATTTTAACCCTGTATAAATGCAACTTTTTCTTTAGCTTAATGGCCTGGGGTGGAACATTCAAATATATATATATATATATTAAAATACATTAAAATTTCAGAAAAATGTAAAAAAAGTGAGATCTGTTCCATAAAGTTTTACTGCCTATACCACCATGTAACTACATTATAGCAAAAATATTAAAAGAAACATTCTTTTCTTTTAAAGTAAGTTATTGCACTTACATCTTTTGGAGAGGGGAAGAATGTGGGAAGAAGCGGGCTGAGGGGCTGAGGTGGGTGGGATGCAAGGCAGAGGCAGCTGACGCTCCCAGCACCCCCTTTGTCAGGTACAGCCCACACTGTCTGTTTGGTTGTTGTTGTTTGCAATAAACTCCTTCCTCCTCTCAACTGGAGTCTGTCTGTTTTGTTCCTGACTTATGACAGATGAAATATGATCAGAGAGGTCTCTGAAATCTCACGTTAATTGAAGTCGGCAAAAAAATACTAACAGTGCCCTTTTGAACTGCTGACACAGTGCAGGATGGGTTACCAGGCTAGATTAACAACAGGTGGCCAGCCAACCCCCGGTGCAAGAGTCAGAGGATGCGTGCATTCCCGACCCTGTCAGACCATGCACCCCGCTTTGCACCTGGGGCCAGAGGGGCCTAAGCCTGCTTCTTAGACAGTAGGATGGGTCATAACCAAAGCTTCTTGTCTCCACTGTGCCCAGTAGACTATACCAGAAGGGCTTCAGCAGCTGTCCCCCACACCCCTGATGTCCCTGAGAGCCGTGCTTTCAGAATCTGTTCTGGAAGCCTGATGAGAGCCAGAGCATCAGGTCCTACAACCCTGCACCCAGAGTGCAGGGCAGGCCTCTAGGAGGCGCAAGACCCAAGCCTGACCCTAATAACAAGTACTGCATGGTAGAAGGGACTTTCCCAGCAGGAAAAAAATGGACAAATGAGTCTGAAAGCCAGGCTGTGCGGATGAAGGATGAAGCAGACAGGGGCTGCAGGATGTGGCGCAGAAAGAGGCAGCTAGAGTGAGGAGCAGGGTGGCACAGGGTGCATCCGTCCCCGTCTGGTCTACCAACCTGCGGGGAGGACTAAAGATGAGGCACACGCGTGTGCTTATACGGTGATATTGCAAAGGGGCACGAAGGATGGTGACTGTTGAGAGCTTTTCTTCCCAGCTCCTCCTTCCAACTATCTGAACTCTCAGACATACCTTAGACTTGCTGCCTGTGGGGAGGGAACTCGGTGTAGCACAGATGTGTTTAGGTGGAGCTGGAAACTTTAGAAATGACAGCTGGCACACATTAGGGCTGAGGGACACAACAGCATCTGGTCTCTTACCCTAAGTCACAGAACTGCAACTGAGGCAGAGGCAGGAAAAGAGCCACATGCACTTGGAAACCATCGAGTGCTGTCTCTACCACCCATCTCTGCTTCTGCCTTGGGAGTTGGCCACTTGAATCTGAGTCCAGACAAGGGCTGTTTCTCCAGGGAAGTCTGGCTTGTGGGAAGCTGGCTAGGTCATACTTCCCTGGTGACTGAAGGAATTCATTCCAGAGACTGGTGCCTCTCAATACAGCCATCTCTCAGTCGCCATGGGGTATTGTCTCCAGGACCTCTGGATACCCAAATCCAAGATGTTCAAGTCCCTTCTATACAATGGTGCAGCCACTCCCCATCTACTTTGACCATCTCTGTATCCTTAGCAATACACAATACAGCAGGAATGCCAAGTACATGGTGTTAAACTGATAAGATGAAGTTAGCACATGCCCAGTAGTGAGGCAAACCTCCTTTAATATGTTTGTCCCTCTGTTGAATCTGCAGACAAGCAATCTGAGACCATGAGGGTATTGACTTTACTCTCGGGAAGGGGGAGGCTGTTGTTGACTACGGCTCCAGCCCCCTGTCTGGCTACCCAGCTCTACTCACTGTCCTTCAAACTATCAGACCTTTCATTTGTCACCATCGTTGGGATTGCTATGCTTCTGCCCAGAATCCTCTGTCCCCTCCAGGCTTTCTTGCACTAGGAGATGTCCCACTGATCCTGTGCCTTTCAGACAAGGCCTCTGTGGGTCTCTGTTTAGTGCTTTCCGGGAGCTGTGTGCAGGTTCTGAGGGAGTGAAATGAGACTCGGAGCTATGAGTCAGGGCTGGAGAGGAAGGTCAGAGGAGAGTCAGAACACTTTCTGTCGAGCCAGAATGGGCTGGGAATGCCGCTCAGTTGGTGCGGCACCTCCCTGGAATGCATGAGCCCTGGAATTTATCTCCAGCACTGCATAAGCAATGATGCGGGCCTGCAATCCTAGCAATTGGGAGGTGGAGGCAGGAGGATTGCAAGTTCAAGGTCATCATCAGCTAGACAGCAAGTTTAAGGCCAGCCTGGGTCACAGGAGACCCTGGAGAGAGAGGGAAAGGAAAGAAGGAAGGAGAGCAAGCTAGGGAGGAAGACAGGGAGTGTGGGGGGAAAGCTGACTCAGGCTTCTGGAGAGCAACTTGTAGTGAACTCAGCCTCAGCTTGATCGTGAACCCTGCTGTGTTCCTCAGGAATCCAGCACACTGTGAAAAGCCATAATATGACAGGGGATCTGTCCCCATTCTTTATTTCTCCTGGGGTCAAGCCAGCCCAAGGCTAGCTTCCCATGACAGTGCAACAAGTTCTGGCCCAGCAGCCTTCATCTTGGAGCCTCTCCACTTAGTCTTGGGCTCAAACCCCATGTTTCAGTCTCCCTTAGATAACCTTTGTGCCCCCGACTCTCCACCCTGCAGAGCGGTTTTTCCTGCCTCAGTGCCAAGCCTGGCCAAAGCTGTTTTTGCCCTGTGCCCCTGCCTTGCTATAAGAAACGCTGCCAACCCCGGCCACCATGAGTGGGTTGGTCCCCAGACAGCAGGATGCTTGCTGTGCTGTAGAGAGTGGAGCGGGGGGCTAGGGGCGGAGCTCATCCTCCCATGGCTCAGATTTGCATGCTCAGCAGCTAAGGAACAATGGACCCTCCACAAATAGCACAAATAGCCAGCTCCCCCCAAATAGGGCTGATTACAGCCCCTCTACATGTTCGTGGAGAGAAGATGGAAGCTGGTGCCAGAAGACAATGGGGTGTGAGAGTTGAAATTTTCCCAGGAATTCTGTGTGATTCCAAACAGATTTTTTTTTCTTTTTAGCTCAACACAGACCAACAGGCTCGAGGAAGGGCAAGCTTGCACAGGGAGCTTGGCTTTATGGCCATGTGCACAACATGTGTTAAGGTGTCGCCTTGGCTGGTGGGGAGCAAATCCACTGTGGTGCCTGCACGGGATCTCCTTGGAGCCCTTCAGGACATGATTCTTAGATGTTCCAGGATGGGGGGGGGCAGTGCTCTTGCCAATTCTTCTGGGATTTTTTTTTTTCACAAGTCCCCTCCCCCTCTCTTCTCTGTTCTGTACCTACAATGTATCTCTACTATTCCCAAGCTCTTTATTAAAAGTACTAGGCCCATGCATACCATGAAATGAGAGACAAAAGAAGGTGAGAGAGATGGAGACCGGCATACAAAGATGGTTGAGAGGATGGGGAAGGATGGACTGTGGAAGCCTGCATCTCCTCTCTGACAGATTTGCACAGAGAGCTCTGTTCTGAGGAGAGAAGGGAAACTACAGGAAGTCACAAGTGACTGAGGTCAGAGCTGGTCTTAAAGATGGTCTACTCTGCTACTGCAGGCCAGACACTAAGATGCTTCTGTTGCATGTCCTGCCCTCCACTGATAAAGCAGAGACATGGCTCTCTGATCCCCTCACAAGGCAGTTACGGAGCCTAAGAATTAAAGGGTTTGACATAGTGAAGCGCTGGAGAGACAGGCAACACTATGCACACAAGAGCTTTCTGCCACTCAAGTGGCTAAGGGCAGGACAGCAAACATGGGGGGACTCATTCCGCAGAGAGGGCAGAGCGGATGGACTCCCAACTCTGCTTTGTAAACTGTAGGTGTCAGTCTAATTGGATTATGGGACACACACACAGTGTCCCTTCTGGGTGGGAGGGGGCTTCCAACAGAGCCTGGTGGGTAAGTCAGCAATAGAACGGAGAAGACTTGCCCCAAGCATGAATGGTCCCATGCCATGGGCTTGGAGTTGGGATAGAAAGAGACTGAAATTCCTCTTTGGCATGCACTGACTCACACAACTGGTGGGACTCTTGAGTGACATAGTCTTCTTACTGGATGAAATGATCTGATCCTGGAAAGCAGTTGTCTTTTATTTCTTTTCTTAATTTGTGAGTGTTGCCGTAACAAAATGTAATTTATAAACAAGAGGGACTGATAATAATAGAGGTTGGGAGTCCAAGTTCAAGGTGGGAACAGCCTTGGGAGCTAGTGTGACGCCTTCCATGGTAGGAAGGCAAATGTGCCTCTCTTGGGTCTCTTCTATAACAGCATTAAATCGTACTACCTCCCACTTGCCTTGTGGCTGGAGACTCTTTAATAGTCTAGAACGGGGACCCAAAGCCATTTGCTTTCTGATGCCCATCATCTGTATCATGCATCTGCTTCCCGTGAAGAGCTGAGCCCTTGTTTACCCTCACAAGGAACAAGCTCTGCTTTAAAAATCTCCCATGGATGTCTACTCTGCCCACTCAGGGCTTAGCCTACTCTTCTTCATCTGGTTCCTCAGAAAGCTCAACGGGCTTTAAACCTTTCCTTTCCAGTTGAAGTAATTTAAGCCAGGTCTGCCTCTTGGCATACTGCTCACAGGTCTGGTACTTTTGATCTTTACTCAGTTCAGGTTCTTTTCTTTGGGTCTCTATCAACCCAGGTATTATTTGGATATATATTATTTAATCTTCAACTACTGGGAGTTTTCTCAGATATTTGCTACCAATTTCTGACTTAATTCTACTGTGTTCAGATTAATATATTTTAAATAAAAAATTAAATAGTATTTCATCATTTGTGTACATACACATGCATGAATGCCACAGTATGTGTGTCGAGGTCAAAGGACAAGTTGCGGGAGTTGATTCTCTCCTTCCATCATGTGGCTCAAACTGGTGTCATCATATTTGTCAGCACGCACTTTTATCTACTGAACCATCTCACTGGCCCAAAGAATGTATTTCTCATGTTCTCAATTTTTTTTTTAAAAAATTACTAAGGCTTACTTTTGGT